CTAGTTCCTCATAAATACATATCACATCTTACAACAGCTAACCACCCTAAAAAATAGAGAAATTACTGTCGACGACCACTTGTTGCCCTGGGGAATAAACAATTACTTCTGACCATTTAAACATGCTCTTGAAAAAAAATATAACTATAGTAAAAAGAAATTAAAAAAACAAAAGGTTATCAAAATTATGCTTATCTAATCGTGATTATTCATTAAATTAAGTTTTGTACATCTTCTTACCAATTATAGCGAAAAAATATATTAATTTAACATAAATAAATATTTATTAGACAAAAAAAACATAAATAAATATTTATTCGACCAAAAAAAAAACATAAATAAATATTTATGTTATATTAAATATTAACTAGTTTACGAATATATTTAATTGACCATCTTCCCAGTCTTGTGCATAGGACATCTCGGTCTTGGGTTCGAAGGGGGTGTGCTTCTGCCGTTGCCTTTGAATGTAATTAACAAAACATAAATATTTGAAAATTTGAAAATAATATAATATAATCCGATAGAATTAGCATAAAAAATTTAAAAATATTTGTGTCGAATATAACCGTCAAAGTTAGTATAAAAATTTTGAAAATGTTTGTCGGATATATCCGCCAGAGTTAGTATAAAAATTTGAAAATAATATAATATTGTCAGACAGATTACTTACTCATGTCGGCTAAGTAACATCCCACATCGCCCAAGGGAGTGATCCTTAAATGTATATTCTCATCTCTACCAAGCACGAGGCCTTTTGGGAGCTCACTGGCTTCGGGTTCCGTCAGAACTCCAAAGTTAAGCGAGAAGGTGACCAGAGCACTCCCATGATGGGTGACCCACTGAGAAGTTGCTCGTGAGTTCCCAAAAACAAAACCGCGAGGGAATGGTAAGCCCAAAGCGGACAATATCGTGCTACGGTGGTGGACCCGGGCCGGGATGTGACAGGCTATATCCTCCAGATTTGGTTAAAATTATTTAAAAAAGAAATCTGGTGGAGTTAAGGGCCCGCTTCATTATTCTTGTCAGAAAGTAGTGAAGTAATGTCGGATATATCTGACACTCATGTCTTATGTCGGATGTAATGACCTGTTCCTAAAAATTATGATTTTTATAATTTTAATACGTGGGATTACGAAAATGCCCTTCGAGGCAAATACGTTGACTTATGTTGACCACCTTGTTGTGTCATGTAAGGTTCATTTTCTTAGCGTATTCAAGTACTACTTGTCGATATGAGCTCGTGGGCGCAAACAAAATGTAATTTGGAGTTGTAATGAAGATTCTACGAACTTTTAAAAGTCAAGGGCATTTTAGTAATTTTCCATTTGAAACACATGTTGTATCTGGAGTAGTGTGCCATGTGGGACCCACAGATTGGTCCCTAATCTTCTGGAACTCTCCTTCGCTTCTTTCTCTCCCGTGACTCTCTTCTCTCTCATAGCTCTCATTCTCTCACTCTCTTTCGGCTCCATTTCTTCCCGTGGAAACCAAACCAACACCAGTCATTTTTCCAGCGAATTAGACCCTGAAATCATAATCATGTCCCTAGCACCCTTGGAATTGTGAATCCATTTAAAGGTTTGTAGAATCTTCGTTACAACTCCAAATTACATTTCATTTGTGCTCACGGGCTAATGTCGACCAGTACTACCCCGAATACGCCAAGAAAATGAACCTTACATAACACGACAAGGTGGTCAACATAAGTCAACGTATTTGCCTCGAAGGGCATTCTCGTAATCCTCTTTAGGGACGGGTCATTACATCGGATATAAGCGCAACAGTACTTTGTTATCCGACACTAGTTAAACATGCTGTCGGAAATATTTTATTCGACATTAATCGTATAAAACTGCCACCACTCTCCGACACATTAAGCCAATTTTGTAATAGTGCGGAGACATAGCCTTCTAGAAAAATTGGCTAATGTGCCTTCAAAGCTAAAATGTACAACGACAAACGAGTTAGGAAACGTGTAAGTAGATGTTAAAATGAATAAAACAATAAAACTAATAATTATGAGACTAAGTCAATCCCTTCTCATTTAGTGTAAATAATATTGCTTGTTAAGAAGAACAAAAAACCTAATAATTACTTACTCCTAGAAAGCCTAAAACCGTATGATTTGAATTGTATTAAAATTTTTAAAGTTAATAATTCCTCTCTAGAATCTAGGAACCGTAAGAGTTTTGAATTAATTAAAATAATGTTAATAATTATGTTTTTATTCATTAACAGACTTGTGCGTTAATATATTGGATGGATTATTACAACTAAAAATAAATAAATAAATAGTCCAAATGACTAGTATTTTTAAGCTCAAATAACTCTTCCTACGTTAAAGCCCGCCTCAGCATTGTTAGTGACTCCGCCGTTGGGTAGGTCGCAACTTGCAGTGGTTTTGGACTTTGTTTAATAGGTAGAAGTCTAAAACTCCGATATTTGCCTTACATACAGAGGTGGAGGACAATTCAACATCCGACAGCTAGCCAGCCAGCCAGCCAGCCAGCCAGCAAGCCAGCAAGCCAGCGGATAATTGGTGCGTATATAACTTATAAGTGATTGATTAAAAATATTGTGATTGTTCTAGAAAGTAATTCTATATAATGCCCCCACCCTCACGACGACAAATAGAATTTCTTTTCTACGTCTTAATTATTATTAAATTTTTTAATGCATGCAACCGGCCCAGATCTTCTACAACAAACTTCTTTATTGGTTGCCTACTTATTCCCTTATATTTTTTGAACAAATAATATTATCTATACTAATAAAGAGAATAGAGATTTAGCTTTACAATAAACTAATCATAATAAGATTCCTCACTTACAAGTGAACAAGAATATCACTATACTGTAGTACTAAGTAGCCCATGATATATGTAATATATATAATTTTGCTACACTGAATTATTAATTTAAATAATTTTGCTACATTGGTCGCTTAGTACTATAGTCTAGTGATATTTTTCTTCACTTGTAAGTGAGAGTTTTAGGTTCGACTCTTGCCAAAGGCGAATTTGAACCAAATTATTGCTAGCCTATTGTGAGACTAAACCCACGCCTCCTTAGTTTAGATAATATCATTTGTTCAAAAAAAAAAATTTACTACACTGAATTATTTGTTTAAATAGATTTGTTGATTGAATAATATAGTTCTACAACTGATTTTAGGACACACGTAATGTATTTTTTCAATAATATAGTTTTGCTAGATTGAATAATTAATTAAGGATAATGCTTGTGTAGAGACTTGCTTGTTCCCACTTACGATTAACAAACTTACACCATCCAAATATTATAAATGGAAAGTTCAATTTCTTTATCATCATGTAATGATCATATGTATGCAAATTAAAGATCTTCTAGTCATTCATATGCATAAAATAAATGGACGGTTCATCATGAGGATGCTACTTGTTACCAAAATCATTGATTGATTTAACATGTATGGATGACTAAACTGCTAAACTTTATAGACCCATGCAAGTTTACCCAATATCCTTAATATTTCCCCAACTTAACCACCTATTACAATGTCTTGGGTTTTATCACAAAAGACTTTGGTAATATTAGGGGCTGAAAATTCCATATGTTAATAGTATCGTTTTTTTTTTTTTTTTTTTGGGTTCCTCATATGACCGATGTAGGTTCCTATTCTCCAATAAGCCTCCCTCACGAATGGCCATACAACATTGGGCCACAAGGGAAACCAATTCCCACATAGGAAATTGGTCAAGTCATTAAACCGGAACTAAAGCTAATGTTTTCGAGGGCTTGGTCAGTTTATATTCAGTCTCTGGAGCCAACGCCAATCTTTTCGAAGGCCTAGTCATTTAGTTGCCTTAACTGGAGCTAGCACATCTTTTCTTCAAAAACCATGTTCGGGCCCAATAACTCGGCCCCAAAACGTGTCGAGAAAATAGCCTACACTGATACCATCTTAAATTTGGGTTTAATTCTTCAATTGTATTCTTTTGACAAAGGAAGGCAAATATATATAATACAAATTTGACTTACAAGGCAAGTAATAAAACCTATACTAATTACAAGGAATCAAACGGGTGAAAATCCCGCTAATTACTACATATAGTCAATTCACGCCAACATAAATTATCTCCAAATTAAATAATTTTTTACATGTATGATCTTTAGATGATGATAAAGAGAATATGAACAGTTCCCTTTATATGATATTTGGACGATAAAAGTTTGTTAATCGTATGTAAGGGCACAAAGAAGTCCTCCCATGAACAGACACAAACATTTATCCATTAAGTTAAAATAGTTTTGCTATGCCATTGACTACTATAATCTGGTTGTATTCCTCTTTTCTTGGAAGTAAGAGGTTTTAGGTCCGAATCTCGTGGATGACGAATTCGATACCAAAATAGATTGCCCATTGTATAGCTTAGCCAAACTCCCATTCCCCTTAGTGTAAAAATATCAATGTACTAAAAAAAAAAAAAAAGTTTTTCTATGCGTAAAATTTCTGTTGACAGTTCTGAATTGAATTGGAGACCTAAAACCGTATGTTTTTGAATTGAATAAAACAATGAAAATATTAAAAGTTAGTGGTTACTCTCTAGAATCTAGGAACTGTATAGGTTTTGAATTAATTAAAATAATTTTAATAATTATATTTTATTCACTAACACTTCTCTGTACATATTGGGTGGGCTACAATTAAAAATAAAAAAATTGCCCAAATAACTAGTATTTTAAAGTTTAAAAAACTAAGACTCTCCCTATGCTAAAGCCACTTCAGCCTGTTGGTAGCTCCGCCGTTGATTCGAAGCTACATGATACTATCCTTCTTTGACTAGAGACAAGTTACGTAATCGAAGACTGCAATCCGACTCTTATAAATACCATGCATAACTCCTCACTCTTTAATCACATTGCACAACGATAAGGGGAGACAGTGAGACACTGATTTTATCCAGGAGTTGGTTTTGATTAATATTCTCACTTAGTTAACCCAATAGCCTGTAATTAATGGGGTCGTCACCAATCTCCCTACTGTTTCAGGTAAAAAGATTGGAGCCAGAACTTGTAACACCGGCAAGTCCAACACCTTGTGAGCAAAAGATACTCTCAGAAATAGATAACCAAGAAGCCCTTAGGTGTCAAACTCCATTTATATGGTCTTACACCAGCAACCCTTCTTCGAAAGAAATCGACCCCGTTCAGGTAATTCGGGATGCCCTAAGTAGATCATTAGTGTATTACTACCCTTTAGCTGGTAGGGTTAGGGAAGGGCCTAACAAAAAGCTTATGGTAGACTGCAATGGAGAAGGTGTCTTGTTCATAGAGGCCGAGGCTGATGTCACACTCGAGCAGCTCGGAGACACCCTTCAACCCCCTTGTCCACTCTTGGAGGACTTCCTGTATGATGTTCCAGGCACAAATGACATTGTTGGCACGCCTTTGCTGTTAGTTCAGGTGACTACGTCGACTTCATTAGTTCATTCATGCATGTAATCAATTAATGTGTACGTTTGGATTTAATTTAATTAACTACTCCCTCTAGATACCTTAAATAGAAGAGCATGTGCAAGCATATATATATATAAGGGTGTGTGTGCTATCCACACATCTCATTTTACTTATCACACACCTTTTGATAATTTTTGTCCGTTGATATTCGTCAATTCATCTGATCTGACGGTTGAAAATTAAAAAGGTGTGTGTGAAGTAAAATGAGGTGTATGGATATTACACCCTTATATATATATATATATATATATAGAGAGAGAGAGAGAGAGAGAGAGAGAGAGAGACTCTGTAATGCATGTACTGATAAGATTAGTTAGTTAGGGTATACATAATAGCTCTGCAAAATAAAATAATTTTGAATTAAGACACTAATCTTAGCAATCTATTCCACTACTCCTAAATGTAATTATATTGTTAAAGATATTAATAAATTTGGATAGGCTAAAACCAGATCTAACATGAGAATTAAAATAATTATGATAGGAAACAAAGAAAAAAAAAACTCCAAAACAGTTGGAAATTGGCCGATTTCTTTATTTATGTTATGTATTATTTTGTCATTTAGTGCTTAAAGAACTTTACCTTAAAAAAAGTGCTTATAGAACTTTGGCTCTCTTTAGGATTAATTTTTGGTTTTAAAGTAATTGTTTATTCAATATTATGGTGTCATCTTTTTATTTTTATTTTTATTTTTATGGTGTCATCTTTTGGTATTAAAGTAATTGTTTATTCAATACTGGCATATGGGCACACACAAAGTGTGTGGGAATATTTTTTTTTTTTTTTTTGAAATAGAAGGAAAGAGGAAGAGAGTGATAGAAAATGTGGGAGTGGGAAGGGTTTTTTTTTTTTTTTTTAATTAGAGATATGTTATGATTACATGTTGGTGAGGTTTTGAAAAAAAAATGGTTGTGTGAAATTATACTTCTGCCCCATATTTCTTATTCATGTTCTATTTTAATTAAAGGGTTAAACTGGTAATTTCATAGGATTTTGGTTGACAATGGGTGTTTTATTAATTAGTAGAGATTATGGTGTCATCTTTTTATCTTATTTTTATGGTGTCATTTTATGGTGTATTCGAATTATATAAGTAAATTTATTTTTTATTAGTTACTAGGTACCCTATAATTAGTTCTAAGGGGACCTTTAAGAGAAGGGATATCCAGTTTTTTTTATTTTTTTTATTTTTTATATTATATTATATATATATATATATATATATATATATATATATATATTTTTAATGGGGATTAGTTGTGGGATTCACACTACATTAGACTTCAACGAACCGAACCGTCTATTTTTCAAGTTGCACATCATAAATTATTCTTGCAATACATTAGCCAAATTGGAAATATTTGAGAAATATAATTAAGTTCAAATAAATTGACGAACACTTTGTTTTAAATAAAATAATCGTGATAATTAAATAGGCAAATAGTTTTGGATTGAGTTGAATTTTTGTAAGGATGATCTATCAATCGAGACTTACAAAATAAACGATTTGAATTGTTGAAGTTCAATGTGGAGTGGGTCCCACAATTAATCTCCATTTTTTGAAAAAATGAGGATCATTTCCCTAAAGGGTCTGTAAGTCTAATATATGTGTTATTTTGTAAGAATATATATCATAAATCAATTATACAATGCGAAGGGATCGATTTCAGTTCCACGCCATAATTTTTCTGTGTAATTGATAAAAAATTGTCTGTAATCAATTTAGGTGACCCGTCTGAAATGTGGAGGTTTCATATTTGCAATGCGCTTGAACCACACGATGTTTGATGCACTTGGGCTTGCTCAGTTCTTGAACGCAGTTGGGGAGATTGCACGAGGTGCACATGCACCATCAATCCCACCTATTTGGGAACGAGAACTCTTGAATGCCCGAGAGCCGCCACAGGTTACGTATATGCATCACGAGTACGGGGACGAGAATGAATCTCAGGCAGGCTCCGTCATTGCGTCCGTGGATCAGCCAGACCTCATCCAGCGGTGTTTCTATTTCAGTCCTAAGGGGATAAGGTCTGCTAGGAAACATCTTCCACCAAACCTTAGCAACACTTGCTCCACATTTGAGTTGATAACAGGGTGCTTATGGAAATGCCGAACAATTGCACTTGCAATGAATCCGAACGAGGCTGTTCGAGTTTCGCTAGTCGTCAATGCACGTGGAAAGCGCAACAATCTCAATGTTCCTTTGGGATTCTATGGCAATGCAATTGGATTCCCGAGTGTGATTTCAACAGCCGAACTCTTGTGTAACAGTCCACTGGAATACGCGGTGCAGCTGGTGAGGGAGGCAAAAAATAAGATGAATGAAGACTACATAAAATCAGTGGCAGATCTTTTGGCATTGAGAGGATGGCCTCCACTTACATTGGCAGGGAATAACTTCATACTTTCGGATAACACGCGCACCGGTGTGGGAGAGGTAGATTTCGGATGGGGAAAGCCAATAATTGCCGGACCTGCCAAGTCCGTCAATTTGATCAGCTTTTATGTTCGGGACAGTAATCAAGAAAAAGATTATGGAATTCTGGTACCAATGTGCTTACCTTTCTGGTGTATGGAGAAGATTGAGCAGGAGCTAAAAAGGATAACTATGGAGCCTGTGGAGGTTATATCGAAACAAGATTCAAACACTTGCCTTGCTTAATTACGTGTTGCTGGATTTTTACATATTTGGGTTATGCTAATTTCTCTTAGTTTTTTTTTTTTTTTCTTTTAATTTTATTTTCTACAATATACACAAATAGAAATCAATAAGGAGATAGGGAGCCAAGGCTTCTCTTGGTAGGTAGGGGGTTGCTGCAGGGCCGGCCCTTAGAAAATGGGGGTCATAGGCGAGCCTTCGAGTGGGGGCCCTAAAGTTCTTTGACACCCAACTCATTGTACATTTATATGTATAAGAAAATGTTTCGCTAAATACATGAAAAAGTTCATTTCTACATAAAAAATCATTAGAATTCATATCCAAAGAAGAAAGATATGCAAAAATTACTTAAATATTACTCGTCTCGCGTTTTTAGATGCAAATGTATTAATTAAGTTTACATAACTAAAATTCAATATTCTGTAAACAACAAATTGACAAAGAAACAAACTAAAATTCAAATTTTACCTACTACCCAACACAAAAGTTTGATACAAATGACACAACACAAAACGAGGTGCATGAAAAATACAGTAAAATTTAATATCGAAACTTCGAATTATCTTGAACCAAAACTAGTTAGGAAGCAAAAGTAAACAACCTTGTTAAGTGCACCCATAATCCCTTTATCTTCTCGAAGGGATTTAACCACTTTATTAAGTGCATCCACAAGTTTGAATACTTTGATTTCGCATAAACAATATGCATTAAAATAAACAAATCATAAACCCTAGAATCGAAAATCCTAATTATATTTACAAACGCAACACTCACAAATTAAATTATAGAAAAAGAAGCAGGAGAGAAGAGAAGCATTGATCGGGTACCTGACCTCTGTAAGTGGAGTGGGAAAGAACCGGTTCGCAGGCGCAGACTTGCTACCAATATGCTGTGCGTTAAATTCCAAAAAAAAGAAGAAGTTGAATTGGTGCTGAAGTTTCACCCCACCCAAGACACTTTGTACGCCAAGTTTCAAGACAATTATGTGATTTTATATTTAAATATTTTATTAAATTCAAACTCTAAAAATATATTTATATATGTTATATATATACACACTTATTTAAAAAGAAATATTTTTGGGGCCCCCCCACCCAAAACGCTGCACGGCAAGTTCCAAAAAAATATTTATAATTTCATATTTAGATATTTTACTCAAACTACAAAATTATATATATAAATATATATAGAAAATTATGATTGGCACTCTAAAATTCTCATTCTACATTCCAAACTTTCTATATTTAGAAAGAAAAATACACTTGTGAAGAGTATATGATGAGATTTTTAGAGTGCCAATAATACTTCCCTATATATATAAAAAAAATTAGGGGGTCCCCTCCGAAGTGGGGACCCTAGGCGGTCGCCTACTCGGGCTACCCTCAGGGCCGACCCTGGGTTGCTGTAAACAAAGATTGAATAATAATATAATTGAACCATATATTTTCACAAAGGAAAATATAAATAAGAAAAGAGGGAAGAAAAAAAACTCTACAACCCACTCAGAGTCTAGAACTCTCCCAAAACTCACGTTCTCCACTCAAAGTGACGGCCTCCTTTGAACCTCTCCACTCTGCAAAGTAACTTTCACCCAAACCACGGCAAGGAGAAGGGGTACACGGCAAGAGGAGGAACAAAGGGAGGAGGAAAAACAAAAAGCAAAAAAGCAAGAGAAAAGCAGAGGGGAATGCCTATAAATGGCACTAAGCCAAAGCAAATTTTTTTTTTTGGGAGGGGGGGAGGGGGGGTAGGAAAGGAAAACAAGCCAGACAAAACCACGGCAAGAGGAGGAACAAAAGGACTTGGATTCTCTGCCCTCCCAATTCGGTGCCCTCTCTGTGCCCTCCTGTTTGTGTGGTCACGGTTAAGCCACGTCAATATTTTATATTACTATTTTTTTTTGTCTTATTATTTTTATAAAAAACAATATAAAATGTTAGCATGGATTAACCGTAATCACACAAAACAGAAGGGTACGGAGAGGACATCAAAATGGGAGGGCAGAGAATCCAAGTCTGGAACAAAAGGAGGAGAAAAAGCAAAAAGCATAAAAAGCAAGAGAAAAACAGAGGGGAAAAGCACGGCAAAGGAGAAGCAACAAACATTAAAAAGTGTTAAGTTTATTCCTTTTTTAATCTCGTTGTCTGTCTCTTTTTCCTTGTTTTTGCAGAGAAAGAAGCAAAGAAATGGACTGAGAATCCTCTCTCCAGATTATTGATGAGTAAATTTTATATTATATATTTACCCTAATCTTAGTATATTTTGGTTAATATATTGGAAGAATTTGATACTTTGAATTGTATTTTTAATATAGGACTTTCGACTTCCTCTGGAACAAAACAGGACCAAATGGACGAATTTTGGAGTAATTCCAGTTGGAGGACGTTCGTGAGTCACTTAGCTTGATCGTATCAAAATTTTGGATTTTTCCACCAAACGGTTATTTTCTGGCGATAAAATAAAGAAGCAGTGCGTAGTGCTGGAAAATGACGTTTTTTGGCTTAAATTGCGTTTTTGGAGCCCAAGATGACCTCGGATGGGTTCGTGGCCTTCTGGAGAAGTGTTCAGAATATTCTAAGCATTAAATCCAGCTATATTGGGCCAGTTTTGGAGTAGCTTATGGGTCCAAAACGTGGCTGTTCAGATTTTGGACGAATTTTACCATTTTAATTTAGGGTTATGTTTTTTTTTATGGGGGATTAGGGTTTGTGTGGTGGCTTAGAAAATATATTGCTTGGCCGTCTACAGTTTTTGGACGATGCTTTCTTTTATGCAATTTTGGAGACAGAGAGAATTGTTAGGGTTTTGGAGACTTTTTACTTGAAGGTGCTTTCAATCCTTTTCTTGAATATATTTTTTATGATTTCAATTATGAATATGTGGAACTAATTTCTTTTGCTAGGGCGAAGCCTTAGAGCAACTCCAGTGTAGGAGCCCTCCCCCCAGGCAATTCACTATTGAATCCACCTAGTGAACAGTAATTGCCCTTAATAAATAGTGCATTCCCCTGGCAATTGCCTTTTGCATCTCCACCCCTGCACTGAATAGCCCTGGCAATTGGCAATAAAATATTAGTATTTTTTTATTTATAAAATAATACATAATAATTTTATTTGTAATTTCGGATAAGATTTTTAATCGTTCTCGTTGCGCCACGTGTCATTATCCGAAAAGCCAATAGCAATAAAATTTTTGTATTTTTGTATTTATAAAATAATTCAAAATAATTATATTTGTTATTTCGGATAAGATTTTTAATCGTTCTCGTTGCGCCACGTGTCATTATCCGCAAAGAAAATTATTGGTGATGGATTTCCGATAAGATTTTTAATCGTTGTGTCAAGGCACGTGTCATTATCTGAAAAGACAATTATTGGTGATGGATTTCTGATAAGATTTTTAACCAATCACGTCGTGCCACGTGTCACAATCCGATTACAATCTTTGAGGATAGATTTCCACCAGATTTTTAACGAATGACGGCATGCCACGTGGCATTATCTACAACCTAATCCCTTCTGAATCCTCCATATAATCCCCCATCCATCCTCATAAATCTCACACCAATTTTCTCAAGATCTCTATCATTATTCATAGTTTCTGCTTCCTTCTTCGCCAAAATCCCTATCATTATTCATAGTTTTTTCTTCCTTCTTCACCAAAATCCCTATCATTATTCATAGTTTCTGCTTCCTTCTTACAATGTCTTCTTCTTCTTCTTCAAAGATGATGTGGGAAATCGAGCAAGAAGAGGAAGAATTGTTTAACCAATCACAAGGAATGTTCAATGTTGGGGATTGGGCCCAAAATGAGATGGAAGAGGATGACGAGCGTAGACGGAGAGATGACGAATCAAGAATGGCAGGAGCCTCACAATCCCGTCGAGTCGTCCAAGCTGTGGCTCATATCTGCAGGCCCAACCGTGCTGTAAACAGTGATAGAAACAGGCAACGACGAGGTCAGGAGCTCTTGGACGATTATTTTGTCCGTAACAGTGCATTCCCTGATACATACTTCCGACGTCGTTTTAGAATGGAACGACATTTGTTCAACAAAATCATGGGCGCTGTTTGCAACCATGATTCTTACTTTGTGCAAAAGCCGGATGCTTTTGGTGCTATGGGTCTCCTGCCTCAGCAAAAAATTACTGCTGCCTTGCGGATGCTTGCATATGGAGCAGCTGCAGACCAAGTGGACGAGATAACGAGGATGGGACAATCAACCATTTTTGAGTCCCTCATGAGGTTTTGTTCGGCAATCGAATCTATCTACACCGCAGAGTACCTCCAGATACCTACTCATATGGACTTGCAAAGGCTTCTGAAGAAAGGCGAGATGCGAGGTTTTCCAGGGATGATTGGAAGCATTGATTGTATGCACTGGACTTGGAAAAACTGTCCAAGTGCATGGCAAGGCGCTTATGGGGACAGAAAAGGATCAAAAAGTATCATTTTAGAGGCGGTGGCATCTTTTGATACATGGATTTGGCACGCCTTTTTCGGGGTTCCGGGAGCTCAAAATGACCTCAACGTCCTTGCCCAATCCCCAGTGTTCAACGATGTCCTGCAAGGAAAGGCACCAAAAGTCACGTATGAGGTCAATGGACGTATGTACGACGGGCCATACTACCTAGCTGATGGCATTTACCCAAGGTGGTCAACATTTGTCAAAACAGTGCCACGTCCGCGCAGTGCAAAGGAAAAACACTTTGCAAGATGTCAAGAAGGGTGCAGGAAGGATGTGGAGCGTTGTTTCGGTATCCTCCAAGCTCGCTGGGCGATCATCAGGGGTGCTGCCAGATTGTTTGATGTAGAGTCGCTTCGATCCATCATGATGACGTGCATCATTCTTCACAACATGATTGTGGAAGATGAGTACGATTATGAAGCCGTTGATGAATATGAGCCAGACACGATGAACAATTCAAGAACACGTATATATTGTGCTCATGACGCCACCGATGAGCCCGTGCAACATGAGCCATTAGAAAGGGATGGACGTTACAATGAAAGGATCATCCAACGATATACTTCACTTCAAAGGTCAAATATGCACAAT